TCGTCGTCGTCGTTGTCGTTCGTCGTTCGTCGTCGTCGGTCGGCGTCGTCGTTCGTCGTTCGTCGTTCGTCGTCGTCGTTCGTCGTCATCGTTCGTCGTCGTCGTCGTCATCGTTCGTCGTCGTTCGTCGTCATCGTCGTCGGTGTCGTCGTTCGTCATTCGTCGTTCGTCGTCTTTCGTCGTCGTCGTCGTCGTCGTCGTTCGTCGCCGTCGTCGCCGTCGTCGTCGTCGTTCGTCGTCTTTCGTCGTCGTCGTCGTCGTCGTCGTCGTCGTTGTCGTTCGTCGTTCGTTGTCGTCGTTCGGCGTCGTCGTTCGTCGTTCGTCGTTCGTCGTCGTCGTCGTTCGTCGTCATCGTTCGTCTTTCGTCGTCGTCGTCATCGTTCGTCGTCGTTCGTCGTCGTCGTCGTTCGTCGTTCGTCGTCGTTCGTCATCGTTCGTCGTCGTCGTCGTTCGTCGTCGTCGTCGTCGTTCGTCGTCGTCATCGTTCGTCGTCGTCGTCGTCGTTCGTCTCGTCGTCGTCGTGTCGTTCGTCGTCGTCGTCGTCGTTCGTCGTCGTTCGTCGTCGTTGTCGTCGTCGTTCGTCGTCGTCGTCGTCATCGTTCGTCGTCGTCGTCGTTCGTCGTCGTCGTCGTCGTTCGTCGTCGTCATCGTTCGTCGTCGTCGTCGTCGTCGTCGTCGTTCGTCGTCGTCGTCGTCGTTCGTCGTCGTCGTCGTCGTTCGTCGTCGTCGTCGTCGTCGTTCGTCGTCGTTCGTCGTCGTCGTCGTCGTCGTCCTCGTCGTCGTCGTCGTCGTCGTTCGCCCCTCCCTGTTTCTCGGCCGCGTCCGCCTCCGCCGCGCGCCGCCCTGCCCGAGCGCAGGAGGAGGCCGCCGCGGAGAGTCGGCGCAAGGCCGAGGAGGAGGAGAAGAGGCGCCAGCAGGAGGCGAAGCTGAAGGAGCACCGCGCCTCCCTCCCTTCAGTGGGGGCCCATGCCAAGAAACACCCTGCTTGCCTCCAGGGTGCCCTGGGCTTCTTGGGGTCTCGACGGTCTTGCAATGGACAGCGCAACGCTCCCACACTCAAAAAGTCAACGGACGTCCTGGGGTCTCAGGGCTGGGCTTCCTCTGGAAGGTTTCTTGTGGTCGATCCCCTACTGTACCTCGAAGAAGAGACAGCGGCACATAGTAAATGTTCGGAGCTCCGCGCGGATGTTTTCTGAATCGGCGCTGGGCCCCCCCAGCGACGCCTCCGGCGCCATCCCTTGCGCGCTCTGGGCGCGAGGGAGGGGCTGCCAGCACCGATGCAGAACACCCGCGTGGGAGTCCAGAGCTCTGTGCGTGTGCAGCGCTTCTTGCGATGTTACCCCCCCCCCATCCTCCATCCTGCTCGTGCTCGCTCGTCCTTCTCGTGCCCTTCCTCGTGCCCCCCCCCTCCCCTCTGCTTCTGCCTCCTCCTTCCTGCTCGTGCTCGCTCGTCCCTCTCGTGCCCTTCCTCCTGCTCCGTTCGGGCGAAGAGAACCATGCACACGCACCGATCCTGGCCTGGCCCATCCTGGGCCCGGGATCGGTGCATGTGCCTCCCTGGCCAAGGCAGGATGGCGTAGGCACCGATCCTGGGCTCAGGGTGGGCCCGGCCAGCATCGGTGTATGTGCACAGTTCTCTTTCCTCTACCCGTGGGGCGTTCTAAAACAGCGCTAGGATCGGGATAAATCGCTCCAGAGCGTTCCGGAGCTCTCTCAGAACGTTCCGGAACGCTCTGGAGCGGCCGCGGCGCCCAATACATCCTCCAAACCCGCCGATTCTCAGAGATTTCGAGTTATCCCGATCCGATTTTGTCCCGATCTTCGTGTCGTTTTACGTGGGGCGCTCCGAGGATGGCCCCGCCCTCGAGGAACAGAGGAGCCGTCGTCTCCTCCGCGGCGCCGGGCGGCATCGAGGTGCGGCCGCCTCCGCCGGCGGAAGCCGG